TAGTCTCATGGTACTGCCTCCACTCAAGCACACACATGTACCCGTTGATTAAATGGAGGAGTAAACTGCACAGAAAAGAAAGGCCAGAGTAGGTAAAACTTAAAGACACAGTCACCAAGTTACATCTTTAGTGCCCTATGGAGGTACAGTTTATAGTCTTGTTGACAACACAGCTAATATTCCAAAATTTGTTTGGTACTTAATTTAACGGGCGCCTGAAAACCTGCATGATGCTATTACCAAACAACTTCCTTTCCACACACAGAATACAGACACTTAAAGTAAAACAAATCAAATCTGTCTCCCAAATTTTCCATATACAGCTGTAAAATATATGTTTCCAATAACAATGCCCATTTAAGGAGTGCCTGCAGCCTTCCCTCCACCATCACGCTTCTGTCTGCACACCCTCCTTCTCATTCCCCCTCCATCTGTGTTTGTACCACACTGAAAAGCAATCAGAGACACACCAGGCTTTTAGAAGGCTGGTAAAGAGGGCAGAAAAATGCAAGGAGGGGAGGGTTATGTCATGAAAGATGAAACATTGACTTGGACCAGTCACTACATCATTTGACTCTGTACACAGTTTGGATCAGTTACCAACCGGTTCCTACCACTGAAACCAAACAAGTGTTTTGTCAGCACGACAAAGGCTGGCCCAGGCAAGCAGAAGAAAGATGCCCCACCAGGGGTATCTGAAATCCTGGTTCATCTTCTCTAAACCTTTTCCAATTGCTGTGTATCTTGTTTGAGATGAACACACTAGTCTCATAGGATTCAGGATGCAGATTCAGAGGAGTTATAGATGTATGGATACAAGGGCATAACAATGCTCTCATGCCCAAATAATTCTTATCATATAATTTATATCTTTTACTGCTATCAAGACTATGGGTTTTTAGTGTGATTTATTACAACCCCAAGATTTCACCTTAGAGTGGCAAAAAGTAGCTGAGATTCTATTGGTGTTTTTCATATATATAATTTTACAGTTATATATACATTAAATCTGTATCACTTTCAGTACTAAAATGTTTCTGCAATTCTCCACAGTTATATCTTCTCTTCACCCTGGGGAACTTGGTTTGTACAGCATTATTCAAAAATATGTTCTCAGAATATACTAAATTATGTTTCATTTTACATTAAAACTATGTATTCCATCCATTTCTACAAGAAAAGAAGACACAGTATGTATCAGTACCATTTACAATGCTTAAGTTTTTATTAAGCTTCTGCTCCATGGGGAGATTTGTATTAGTTTTGAGGAAGAAGTATAATATTATCAGGTTAGGTAGAAAAAGATTCAATAGTTACTTTCATTTCAAAGGTCTTTACAGCTCTGTGTTAGATTCACCTGAATTCACAAAATGGGAAAAACCAAAACCAAAGCTTCTTATCGTTTATAGTACTCAAAATTCTATATTATTTTCATATCTTAAAGGAGTACGCTTTTAGTTCATAACATGTGCAGAAGGCAACCACTGCCTTTTGCTGTGGTAAAATTCCTTCTTCTCTCTCATCATATCATGTCTGACACACACATGTCAGCTAAAGGCCATGTGATGACAAGCCTCACTGCACTCTTAAATGTGTTGATAAACTAATCAGCTCCAAGCTCTGAGTGTCTGTTTTACCATTCTGAGAACAAGGTCAGACAAATGACAAACGCTGAATAAACCAGCCAAGGTCAGGCCTAAATAAGCCTCTTCACAACATGATGATTACAGCTTTTTCTGAGCAACACAATTTGTGCAGACTGCTCCTCAAAATACACACAGGTTTGAAGTGCTGTGCATTTGCAACTGCCCTCTTAGGCTGATACAGTTTCACTGGAATTTGAACAGCACCAGTTGCAATAGGCTATAACCTTTTCCCTGCAGTATTACCTTCCAAAAGCTGTTTCCAAATTTTACTGAAACACTGGCACTTCATCTACAGTGACAAAGCACTCCTGGTAAAAGTAGTACAGTTCTGGACTGTTGTGTTGTAGGGTCAGATTAAATAACAGAAATGTTTTGTATTATATTAAAAACTGGAGGAGATCCATATTTATTTCTGTTCCAGCATTGTGATTATGAAGAATTCTATTCTTAACCAGAAAGACCTTAATTTCTTAATTTATTATTAAATTAAAGGTAATTATTATCCCACAGATATGTTCTGGAAGTTTTACTATTGTTAAATGGAAATAGTCTGATCTCAGTCTTAACAAACATGAAACGAAGTCAAGAATAATCACGGCCACCTTGAGACCACCACAAGAAAAACCATAACACAAAAGTAAGTTTAAAAGGTAAACTGTAGCAAAGAAAGTTAATATCTTAATATCTGTGACTTTATGTAAAAATCCTTATTACAAAAACCAAAAAAACAAACAACAATAAAAACCCACCAAACCCCTCCAGCCCAGCACCACGGCAGAGAGCATGAGAACAGAATCATACAGGACAAACAACCCTGCCCTGTTCTTTCACCAGATAACCCTGAGTATGTTTTTATTGCTTCAAAACAGATCTATGTGGCATTCTACACACAGAGCAAATGAACTCTACATTACTTGCCAACCTACCTGAGGTCTCCAGCAGCTGAAAATTCTGTTGATTTAACACTGGCATAAAAACTACTTCCTTTCTCTATGGAAAGTCTTCCTTAACAGCCTATATATATCACAAAACACCTTTTCATTGTACCAATTTGGATTATCTAGAAGCAATAAGTACTAACACTCCTGCACATACAGATTCCAACATAACCTGAGCTATCCAACATCAGCATCCACATTTTGTGTGTGATAAACCACTATTAGAGCATTTACACACCTGTTTTCCTCACCACATACAACAGAATGGCCCTTTCCACTAATTTTTATGTGAATTTCTTGTACCCCACCATCCAGTATGAATCTTTCCAGCTTGCAATAGTATTAGAAAAAAAATGTAACAGGTCAAGCAGCTTCCATTGTATAGAACTTGATTTTCACATACTCTGTTGGGTATTTCAGATTAATTATAAACCCAATCATTAGCATCACAGCAGATCACTCAGTTAACTTACTGCAGAGATTGGTTATACTTTCCTGACAGAAGATATATCAAACTCAACAACTCATCTCAGTCAGCAGGCACAAAGATAATGCTGTGCTTAAAAAAAAACAAAAACCAAAATCCAAACAACATTAAGAGTACAAAAACTGGAAAGATTTAAACAAAACAAAACAAAACAAAAAAACCCACCACCTTGCAATTAAGCATGTTTTACTTTAAATAAAAACAAAAATCACCTGCACTGAAATTATAAGAGAACTGGTGCTTAGGGCAACATTAATCAAATAAATTTCACTTTTGAACATCTTATTAAATTTACTATTAAATTTACTATTAGACTATGTCATGCAAGTGAATAAATGCTATTTATAACTATCTCTGAGCCAGAGCACCCCAGTCATAGAGCCATTTCCCAGACTGTGGTATTGTTATGCTGAACAGACTACTCTTTCATTTCTTGTCAGTCGTAATTACAGTTCCATAATTGAAATACAGTAAATTACCATGCAGTAACTTTGAAAGATGGTTCATTGAGGCTGAGCTGTCACTACAATTACTGTATAATAAAAAATGATCATTTAAATGTTCTACTTTTCTCTCAAAGAAAAAAATTAATTCAGTTCAAGCATCTCAGACGAGTCAAATATCTTCATGATGATGTAAACAAAGAGAAACAACACATTTAAGCAAAGCTGAGCCATCTCAAGCACAAGTCCTAGGCTGCATTAACAGCTCAGCATATACAAAGTTTTCTGACCTCTGAAGAAAACTGCACGTTTAAAAACAACCCTTTAGAAGGATAATCTTTAACAGAATTCATTCCTAAAATATCCAGCATCTTCCACATGTGCTCCTATTTTGCTCATAAAGCATATAAAGCTTTGGAAACTGCTTTCAAGTTTCAAGCTTAATTTTAACTCAGTTCTAAGTTATGTTTTAGGTCACAACTAGTAGGATTAGTACAACTCACCTAAGCCCAGTGAGGTGTAACAGACATTAATTAGCATGGACATTTCTAAGCAGCAAACTGGGCCTACAATTCTGACTTCTATTGGTCAAGCACAGTTTGCCCTCAAAATTAAAAACAAAAATTAAACACATGACAGAAAGAGGGAAAAGACACAAATGCTGTCACTGTAAAAACAATGTTCAAAATTTTATGAGAGCATCCCCTTACCAAAAAAAAAAATTTTTCAATGTATTTGTAGCTGCTGCCTCTGCAAAGAAAACTTCACAAAGGACATCTTTTAGAAAACAGTAACAGATAAGCACATGTGAGACCTGTTCCTATTCTCCCCCTCACACAGACTTCCTGCTGATGCTGGAAGAGGCAATTCCTTCAGTTTTGTTTTCTTCCTGTCTGACTCAAAACACCCAAATCCCTGCTGTTCCTTGTGCTGGAACTCCTTTGACCATTCAGTAAATAAGCTAAGTTCAATAAATGAAAAGGACACAAAACAAAACCCCCACACTAGGACTAAGTAGTCGAATGGACAAGGTGGGACAATGTATTCAGGGAACAGGATGTGACACAAGGAGCTGAAGGCAGGAAGAGTGGGCTGCAGAGAACTGCTAGAAGTTTCAAAACTATAATTTCAACAGCAGCACTAGCAAAGCACACTGGGGCTCTTCAGGGCATTCTCAAGGTTTTGGTGATTCTGTTTAACCCAAGACAAGCAAATGGTCCTCTGTACTACACTCCCATCTATTCTCTCTCAAAGTTTGCAATTAAGCACATGTAGTCAATAACTGATTGAAGAAAGAGCCACAACTTCAAAACATTAGATGAGTGTATAAAATAAAACTTGTTCTCAGCAGCTAAGAATCCCCAGCCCAAATCTTTTCCTATTTATTTTGCTAAGAAAAGAGTAGTATCTGAAAGAGCCTAGTGTATGACATCTGAGAGAGGTAAGATTTTTCCCTGTAGAGGTTAATTGTAATCACTTGTCTTACCTCTGTTGCTTTCTCCAGGCTCTGTCGTAGATCAAGCAATTCTTTATCGTGCTGCTCCTTAAGTTTGTCCATCTCCATGTCATGGCTGGATACTTCTTCTTTAAGTGCTCCTTTTAAAGCTGTAAGCTCTCTCTCTCTCTTTCTCAAGATCTCCTCTTGTTGATCTTTTGCTATTAATACTTCTTGCAGATCCTGTTTCATTTGCATCAGCTCCTGAAGCCCAGAATTAAAACACAACTGTGTGACAAATAGGGATGTTCTGCCTGTATTTCACAGGAAGAAAGCATATAAGCTTCCCAAGACCAACTTCATTTCACAACTGGCATATGTTTTACAGTAAGCTAAAAATTTACTAATCCCTAGGATTATTAGAAGTATAACATATAGCTGATGTTTTAACTGATGGGTCAACATATCTGATGCTGTAAAACTATCAAAAGATTTTGATGGTGTATGTGAAGCCATCAGTAAATAAAGAAGGAGTCAAACAGAGGTTGCAGTTTAACAACTCCCTAAGTCCTACTTTCAGTAGCAAAGAGGCAGATAAGAACAAAGACAACACTCTTTCTCACATGGCAAGAGAAGTAAACCCAGTGATAATTCTTTGTTTTATTTTCTGCTGAAAGAATAAAGTTACTTCTTCAAGTGTTGAAGACAAAACAAGTGCTTCCCAACTGAGTCCATGCATTCACACCCTTCCTCCTCCCACCATGTTCACCCTAGAAGGCATTTCCCCTCCCCAAATTGCTGGGGAGGAAGTGGATAGTCAGTAAATACAAAGACTAAATACATGTGCATATAAACATAGAATAAAACAGCAACAATAATCAAAAATGTACAAAAATGTAGCTTTAAGAATTATCTGATTTGGTATTTCTCAAGCTGTGAATAATTGCACTTCCAAAACCCAGGTAGGCTTCCCCTCACTGAAGCAGGACCAGTACATCTAAACCACTTCTGACACACATCATCTACTTGTCCTTAAAAGTCTACAATGAAAGGGATTCTACTACCCTCCCCAGAGAGCCTGTTTAATTATCCTATTCCTCTGTTTAATTATCAATATTATTAGAAACTTTTTCCAACACTTACTTTAACTCTGAAGCTGAGTCTCTTATTTCTTACTCTGATCTCCACATAACACAGAAAAATTGATTACTCTCACCTTTAGAGCAACATTCTACAAGATGCTTTGAATCTTCCCTCACTCCTCCACTCAGATTGAAGACCTGCTTCATAGTGACATTTTCAGTACTACCACCATCATTTGAGATATTCCCCTACTACTTACAACTTTCAGCTGTCTGAGATTTAAGATCTCACCAAGCTAGTTATTCTACCAGCATGTCTTGTGTGCAAACACCTTTAATATTCCTGAGGTCTACTGTCTATGCTTTTGTTCCCTATTTTGCATTTTCTCATTTACCTTCCATTACTTCTTTGCACTAGTATTAAGACAAGTTAATTGTCTTGGTACTTTAGAGTATTAAAACACACCGAATTCTAATCTTCTTTTTGAACATTTGTGCACTGATACTCCTACACACCCTTATCAACAAATTTAATAAGCTGTGTTCTCTATTTCATAATCGGTGTATTAATATAACCAGGGCTCCAGCCAATTCATCCTTCATCACAAGGTGACAGAAAACCTTTAACTCTTTCGTTCCTCTCCAGACTATCCCTCCTCCTCTCCCCCTGGACCCATCAACAGAAAGTCAACAATTCAGAAACTGCTTTGGTGAGTTCTTTTAATTTTCTTAGTTGAATCTCATCTGGCCTTACTAATATTTACATCTCCTTTAAACTGATCTTCTCTGTTCTAACCTCACATCCTAATTGCTAAAACTGACTGACATAATTGTCTGGTAATAATGGATAACTTGGTTGTCCCTTAACCATGACCTTTTTTGTTCTCCTGCTCTATAAAACAACGGTACTAACAGTTAGAGTGTATTGGTTTTGGATTAATAGAATAGAAAAAGCAAAGGCATGTATTTCTTTCATCTGTATCTTGATTCCCACTTTTCACGCAATTCTTCTTTTTTTTTTTTTTTTTTCATTCTCCTTCTGGTACTTTATAACTAACCTCAATCAGAATCTCTTTCTCCCCTTGATCAGTATGTTTGGCATTATCCAGTTCATCATGCATCTCAGAGAGCTGGTCCTGAAGATCTCTGATCTCAGTCTGGTGCTGTTCCTGCTCCATCTTCACTTGAAAAAGCCTCATCAGTAAAAATAAGACAGGATTTTTTAATTTGTAGAAATACTGATTTGTTCATTCAAGTACTAAAAAGACATGTATCTAAAAAGACATATGTTGCCCACAAGAGAATGGGATATAGTAAGGCAGAAAAATTTAATGTTAGAGGGGTAAAAATGAGAAATCTAAGTAGATATTTAAGTGGGAAGTTGTATTTTGTTTCAAACCTGGTCATTCAAGTTTTTCCACATTTTAAAGATTCAGACTATATATCATGACTGTGAAATATTAAAAGCATTCTGCACTAAGAGGAAGACTATAAATTCAGCAATCTTTCTCTTCCTTCCAGATATTCTAAAAACATGCCTCTTTTAACTGGGAGAAACACTTGCTACAATAACAAATGCACTCATCTGATTCCATCAAAATATTCAGCAGACACAGGTAGTTTTAATCTAAAATGTTTAGGGAAAGGTACAAATCCCAATTGTAACTTTTCTAGAATGAACTCACTCCTCCAGGTTTTGCCTGAGGTCCTTCTCATTTTCCTCCAGCTCCTTTTTCAAGGCTTCCTTCTCACGCAGACTTTCCTCAAGCTGCAGCTGAAGATCTTTCAGGCTTGCTCGTGTAGCATCTCTCTCTTCTTTGGAATTCTGCTGATTCTGAATTTTGTACACCAAAAGTTAAGCAAGGTAATAACAGCTACATGAGTAACACAGTTTGACTCTCAGCCCATGCCTGTCTTGACTGCAATTAACTGAGTAACATTCACCTCTGCAGATATCCAAGATTTTTTTTGTGCAGTTGCTCAACAGTTTTGTTCACTTCTCCAAACTCCTTCTCAAATACTGAGAAGAAAGACATTTATTAGAAAGCGTAACAGTGCTATGAGCAACTTTAAAAGACTTCTGAAAAAGCACAGGCATATCTGGATTAAGAAAAATAAGAAGCAAAACAGATTCAGCTGGTCGATCAGTCACTTATTTAGAAAAGTATATTTGAAATAGTCGAAAGCTTTATAACAACAAAGTGCATGCAGTACCCTAATTTCCAGATCCAGTTTTTTCTCTAATTCTTCCACTTTCCTTTCAAGTTCTGCTTTTTGTTCAGCCAATGCTTTTACCTCAGCTGAAGAATCCGAAACCTACAATTAAACAGAGACATTTATTCCCACAAATGCAAGACATTCTTTTTTTTAAATCTAAAGGAAGGCTACAGGTAGGACTAATAAAGTGTAGCATCAACTGTCTGAGTTCATCAGGGACTTTTCATATGGGTCAGGCCTGGCTAAGGTTTTCAAAGGAACCCTGATTTGATTTTCATAAAAATTTCTGGACAATTGCTCAGAGCAAGTTGTTAGTAAAACAGGAAATATACAAATCTAAAGAAAAATTCAAATTAGGCAACACATGAATCATTTCACAAGTACTCAGGCCCAAATTTGACTGAGATATTTCTAATTATGCAAAATGGACATCAAAGGAATTCATGCTCATGTGTCAAGACAGATTTTCAAATACATTTTTAGGATGTGTTTTGCAAAAAAAAAAACAAGTTGTAGTTAATAACAACAGTTACATGAGTCTCTCATTCCACACCTGTCTCACTGCAATTAACAGATTAACATTTAACAGATTAACGTTTATCTGTGTAGATACGTCAGAAATTCTATGTGCATGTGCCTAGCACTTGTATTCACTACTCCAAACTCCTCAAATCCTAAGAAAGAGATGTCTTAAAAAGTGTAACAGTGCTGTGAACAACTATACTTAAAATAGTCTTCTGAAAAAGCACAGCTATATCTGGATTAAAAAGGATATGAAGCAAATTAGATTTTCATTTTGACTAATTATAGCCCAGAATAAAATAATAAACAATGAGCATTTAATCATTCTCATGCCATCACTGCAGCAATTGGGCATTTCTTCAGTTTGCTTTAGAACTGATTAAAAAAATGTATCATTTAGCAGGAAACAAAAACTTTTCAGTAGGCAGATTGCCAGATATTGTTGTTGTAATGTGACTTTTATACAATATCCTAGACTACTGCTTTTCTAAATTACAAATTTAAATACTTCTCTCCACTTGGATATCTATTTATAGCACTACAAGGAGAAGATGCTCCACCACTATTTTTTAAAGTTAAGTAGTGTAGCTTCTTCTTTGATCCGACAACTTACTGGTGTTCATGTTCAAGTTTGCATCTCTCTCCTTCCAAAATGCAGAAACAAAATGTAGATGCTTCATGGTAGACTTCTTTACATTCTTTTTTAATTGTTAGCAAATACATTTTCCATAAGTCACCTCAGTGCATGATCAAGCTACGCTCCTGAGGGACTGCAAGAACAGCCTGGTTGAAGTCAGTAAGGGAAATTCAAATGTTTCATGCCCTATCTGAATACTGCACCACTCTGAAACAAGCCAAAGCAAATTAAAAATTCTTTACCTGTGTCCTTCCAGCAGCTCTTGACTTTAAAGTCTGAATTTTCTCAAAAACTAAGTTGACTTTCCTCTTCGTTGCATCATCATTATCAGGACTTCTAAAACAGATAGTACAAAAGCAATTATATGATCAAAGTCATTATTTTGTTAACAACACAAATCCAGAGTGCCCAAACTACTGAAAATCATCACAAAAAACCCAAACTAATATGAACCAATCACAAATTATCTTCACCATGATTTATTAAAACCTTTAAAGACAGGGGGTAAAAATTTATATCCCAAATGTTTTCTGAAAAGCCAACCAAAAAAAAGATCACTGAGCTCTTTAATTGCAACTCTATCCTATAAGACTGTAGCTGTGGCAGGACAGATATTCATCACGTATATATATTATTCAAACATACTGAAATTACAAGTAATTAGTACTAGGTTTTTCAAGTTCTGACTTCTGCACCATAAAACAGCATTTGAAACAGCTCCTAGAACCTGCTACATCAGGAATGCAAAGAAACTTAAATGCATTTTATGTTTTTAATTAATTTCTCCTTCATCTTTCAGTAGGTTATCACTAGAAAATACCAAGTATAAGAGTTACAGGTGGACAAACGATTAAATGCACAGCAACAAGAGAGCTGCTGTCAAACTTTAGGAAACAATTTTGTTGCTGTTCAAAAAACCCAAAGTTTTAAACTCCCATGAGGTACAATTTGAATTCTGCATTAACCTCTATATCAGAAGTTTAATTCTAGGACTACTTAAAAGACCAAGTATATTCTAATTCAAAAGTTTCAAGTACATTTAATCATATCCTGCACCTCATGTAAGTCCTGATAGCCTGGGTATTTCGAGATCCTGTAATGCCTTAGAGGACACAGTTGAGACACAGAATTGTCTAACAGACAGTTCATTTAGTTATAGTTTTGACTTCACTGTTCCACATTTTAAATGTAGTAGAAAATAAATATTGAGGAAATACAGTCTTCCCTCCAAAAGTTAACTATGTTTACTAACCCCTCCTTAAGGTAATTGTAAAGTATCTGTTTAGCAGTCTCTTCATTTGTTTGCTGTGAAAGATCTTGTTGGCCTTTTAAGAGATCAGGAGTTGCCTACAAGGACAAGAAAAAATGTCAGAAGATACAATCCTATGACAGTTGTAAATACAACTTGTACAACTGAACTTCTCCATTCTATTCTATTATGAAAACATTCATATACTGTGGACCTGAAGTTCTCAAAGATCCACTGGAGTTTTGGCTTACTGCAAAGAGAAACCACACTCCACACCAAAAGAAAAGAAACAAACTTAATTTTCTGTAGTTATATATATTTCCATATTCTATTTTTGTACATTTTTGCTAAGAATAATCATAATATCATTTACAAAAATCTGCTTTGGCCCCACCATTTTCCTTCATCCATACAAGAATAAATTCCTTTACAAACCATATTTTCTACACTTACAACAACAATAATTTTCATATTTACATTTCTCCAGAACAATCCCACTTGGAAGTATGGTGTGATGGGAGTCTGTTCTCGTGAAGACCAGAAAAATACACAAATAACGTGACAGTTTTCATATGTGAGGATTCAAATGACAGCTTAAAGAACAAATTCAAAGTTACCTGAATATTAGGGACAGATGAACATGTTCTTACAGAAATCTTCTTGGCCCCTGAATCAGGGGAGATTGTGATTCGGTTTGGCAACAATAAAGTGGAAGTTACTGTTCTAACTTCCTCCCTCTTGCTCTGTCCTGGCAGTGTAGATGACCTACACACTGAGCTCTCAGGATCGGCTCCATTTTGTTTGTGGTGTTGCAAAGAGCTGAAATCGTTGCTGTCAGTGTCTTTAACAGGCATCTGCAGTTTTCCAACACTTCGAGCAGAAATCTTCATCTCTTTGGAAAGTGACTTCTGATCCCTGGATAACTGTTTGCGAAGGCAGACTTTAGATGGTCTCAGCAAGTGCTCAGTTGACTTGCCCAAGCTTTTATTGAATTCACCTAAATAATCTGAATTTACATCAAGACCTAATGACAAGGCACTATCAACACTTCTTGATCTTTTACGATCATCTGGATGAATTCTATTCCTTTTTCCTGACCTGCCTCTTCTGTGAGGATCAACCTTCTTATCAAACTTTTCAATTAGCTGATCTACCCCTGGAAGTGAACCGGTGTCGATATCGCGACCAGTTCCCGGCAAAAATGGGATGTATCTCCTGTTTTCGTGTCGATTGACGTTGTCTGCATAGATGGCATACTCCTGGTCATCAAGCAAGAACCTGTATAAGGAATTTGCAGAAGTGGGAGTAGCTGATGAGGACGACGATCGTCGTGAGTCATCCAAGACCAGCCCAGTAGAATCTTGTCTGCGGAAGGGAAGCACATCTGGTCTAGGTTTTCTTGTCTCTTGGTAAGAAGTGGGACTAACACACGGGGATTCTCCTGCAGATGAAAATGACTCTGAAACACCCACATCACTAGGGCTGATCTTGCTACTGGAACAGTCCAACAGTTGCTTATTTTGATCTTCTACTGACCTGTTCAAATGTATCTTTTTGGAACTTGCTTTGGTTGGCTCTGCAAGGTACGTATTTGTTTTCTGTAGAGACACTACTTTAGATGAGGAAACCCAAGGCTTTGCTTCAGTTTTTTCATCTGCAAAAGATTTAGATTTACTGCACACAGAAGATTGGTAATTATCCAAGTTCAAGTTATTTTTTTCAGGATCATAAGGCTGTAAAAGTTCAGGATGTCTTTGAAAGTTCAACAAACTGGAGGATTTCATTGCTTCATCTTTAAAAACTGACATTCCACTTTCCTTTTCATCTACATGGGTTATCTTCAGTTTTTTAAGCACAGAGGGTTGCATGTGCTGTATTCCAGTAAATTTTGTGTGTTCATTGATTTTATCCTCCAACTTAGAAGCAGTATTGGAGTCTGTGGCTGGCTTGTTTACAGGTTGAGAAACGACCTGCTGCTCTTTTCCAAAAGGAGGAGGATTTTCTGATAAACATCCTTCTGTATTATTTAATACTATGTAAGGATGTCCATCGATTCCCTGGACTCTGATGCTGACACCGTAAGACCCCGTCCTCAAATTCTGTGCACTTTTAGTCTTTTGAGTCTCCTCACTCGCGAGTTCAAGAGTGACTTCATAGTCCGGCTGCACGTGCTTAAACTCAGCAAAATATGGCTCCATGTCCATCAGAGGATTATAGCTGGAAAGGAGAAAAATTACACAACTGTCATTGCTTTAAATAATTTAGATTATTACATTCATTATTTTATTCCACCATTCAATGTGACTATGAAGATTAAAAAATGGCAATGTGCGGAGAAATCAATCTCGAAGCTAAGCAAAGCCCAAAGCAAATGTTGTGACACAAAGACAAGTGTCTGACTGACAGATTCTGGATCAATGGAATGTTATTTTATCATGGCAAATGTTACCTTCACAGAGCTGGTGCTGGTTGCTTTGGAATCAAGTGAATTCAAATATAAGCAACTCTGGTACAATCTTCTGAGTCAAAGCAGCTTTGGGTATCTCCACTGCATTTACTGAAAGACTGTACCCTTCCCAAATAATGATCATTTCATAGCCAGCAATTGGTACCAGCCATAGGAACCCTTAAACATAAGCCCAGGAAAGCAAAACACAACCAGGCAGTTTTAGGTTATGGGTTCCAGGTAACCAAAGCACTGCAAGTAAGGTCAATATCCTCATTCCTTTGAGTTGTGCTTTATGTACTTGAGTTTCAACGTTTGGTTCTAATGACATCTGAAAATAAACTTTTGCATTTATTATCTCATTGTCATCCCTAAGAATAAACTTTCTGATGGATTAATGTAACAATCTCCCAATTGTAACCTTGTTCCAGAAAACTCCAGTTGCTATCCTAAAACAAGGTTCTTTGCTGAGCAACAGAAGTGGAAAAATACTGCCAGTATTTCCAAAGTTGACAGTATCATTTTCAGAAGCAATGTTAACTCCAGTCTAAATGTGCCAAAACTGTTTCAGGTCTAGAAAACAATAAATTAAACCCTACCTGTGTTTTTAATGTTAAATGCCATTCTTTCTTTCTCTAAGAGCTGGGTTTGCAGGGAGTTTTACTTTACTGTCTGATGTATTATGAGCCAAGTGCCTACAGGCAGTGACAGTAAGAGCTGTGTCTATAAAAGAATGGAACACAAGACTCTGTCAGAGTGATGCAAAACCTGGAGGAATAAACTTTTGAACTGAGCTGGAGAGTTGAGTAATCCCTGAAGCCTGACAAAACCAAGCTCTCTAACCGATGGTGAGTAATCATCCAGAGGAAACTGAAACAACAGGATGTCTCATGGAAAAACAAACCTCTGCAGCCAGTTTCTCTCTCCATCTATCTCAGCATGAACCACCTCCCTCAGATATTTGTGAGCAGCAGAATTCTCATTTTTTCCCGACAATGAATAAAAAGGTTTGGCTCAACATTCAGAGTGCACTAGTTTCCACACAATTCTTCCTTCTAGCAGGGCAGTTCCCCTAGAAAACCTCTTCCTCTCTAAAAACCAACTCCAGCTCCCCCTCAACAACAGTTTACTTCATCCCAAGGAATCAGCCTACATTTCTCTAAATATAATGCTAGATAGCAAGTGATTATTTTCAGGAGGAAAAAAGCAGTATCATTGTCAAAGTCTTCCTTAGTTATTAAAAGGTTCAGTGACCTAGTTAAATTCCAAAACTAAATCAGGGGTTAAATTCACTTATTAAAGGGAAGTAAACAGACAATATGAATTTGATCTCCATGTAGGAACTCCTGGAGTAGGAAGAGAATCAGAACAAGTGAAAAGATGAGACAAAGAAGGTTAAGGAAAGTGGAAAAACAAGGAGCAAAAACAACAGAAGGAAACAGTAAGGACTAGTACACTTCACAATCTCAGGCCTCTATTCCATGTATTCCTCCACACTTTTTTACCTTCTTTTCTGAATACTCACAACATCTCACATTAATTGAGACAAAAATAACAAAGTTTATTCTAATCACCCAGAGTCAATGAAGACATTTCCATCAATGTAGAGGGTTTTGACCAGGGTACTGAACTGAAATCAGCTTCTGAACTGCCCTGATGGTGACTAAGAATGCAAGGAGGGAGAAAGAGAGAGCACTGTACAGAGTTCTAACTTGGAATAGTCACTGCAAAATGACCCATCTCAGGACTGGATGCTGAGGGAGGAAGGAAACCAGGAAACCAGGCTCTCCACTCTGGTCTTTAAACTGTCCAGCTGCATTCACCCATGTCTCAAAGTGTCTTTGTTCGCTCAAGGCAACAAAAAGGAGGTATTTTGAAAATTTCAAAAGTTGTTCTCAAAGTAAGCAGTTTGAAGCTCTTACACTTTCCATTTTTATATTACTGTTATATTACATGACGTTGATCTGAAGTTACTTCTCTGGATATGTAATGAAATAACAGAAATTTAAATATTTTCCAGTCTTAGCAAAATAAAAATCACAAATTAAAGTTTCTCAGACTTCTACATCAAATCAGCATGATGTCTAGGGAGCAAAAGACGTGATTTTGTAATTGAAAATTACTAACAAAGAGACTTCAAACAGCCTGAGGAAAAAAAAGGCAACAAAATACTACAACTTCTAAAGAGCAAGCATTTAAATTCTCAATTAATGTTTTCAGAAAATACAAATTATTCAGAACTCTACTTGAAAAAATCTGGTTTGCAGAACACAGTGTGCTGATACTACTGTAAGTTAAAATCACAGGTGGCATATTTGCATGTGCCCACGTCAGTGAAAGAAAACCCCTCATTTACTGGATTTGGTAGCACATCTGCAGAAGGTGAATATGTGAACACCTCTAAAAAAGGCTCTCCACTTAGTGATTCCAGCAAGACTAGAAATGCCACTAAGACAAACTGCTTAGGGTATGAAACTCAACAGTGCACCTTCAAGCTCTGTACATTAGCAGACCTATAAAGAGAGTTAAGTTCATCTGAATTTGCCATTAATGGCAACAATTCACAAATACAAGAAAAAGGGGTCAATAAAAATAAACATAAAAGTTAAGAAAAAAGTATTTACATCAGTCAGCATAAAGAACAGATAACCAATAAACTGCAATATGTCATATTCAGGGTGACTGCAAAAGCAGTGCTTTCAAACATGTTGCAATGTTGCTAAAAATATTAAAGAAGTAGAAAAAAAAACCCAACCCCAAACACCATCAAAAACCACTACAAAACACCAAACCCCCTACTATATAGTGGAAACAATATTTAGGTTAATAATCTACCTCAAGTTACCTTAAACTAACCATTAATAGATTTCATTTGTCTCTAAAACCATAAACAAGTATGTGTATTCATCTTCTTCACGTGCATTATACAATAACTCTTAATTTTACTGTAAAAAAGGATAAACCCCTGTAGAAATAAAAGTGTTCACCCAAAAATTTTTTAAATAAAACATTTTATCTTTATGTAACTGTGGAAAAAATATGTATAAATTCCCACTACATCCACAAGAAAGTAGCACAGATGACCCTACTGTTCAAATATTGAGGACTTTACTTCAAATTCCTATTTTATAGGACGTCAAACTGCAGTGGATAACACTCACATGAACCACATGACATCAAAAAGTGGTTTTACAACACACAAAAACACTGGTTTGGCAATATTGCAAACATTTTTAAATTAAAAATAAAAGCATTACTGGCTTTCCTCACGCACAGCCTTTCTGAGGAAACCCCCAAAGTATGTTAATTGATTAATTGCAGCTGCAGTCGCGTTTCCACACCCAGTGGTCAGCTGGAATCTCAGGCTCTGGCGGGGTTACAGCAGCAGCCGGGGGTGAGAGCACCGAGGCTGCTCCTCTCCCATCTGCCTGCCCCCTCCTCGAGGGGTGTCACCACGGCAGAAATGAAAACACCCGAGAGCTCTGATGGTTGGGCACACACCTCTGCCACCAAAAGCTGCAGCTTGGCACGCTCAGGTAAAGTGTGCCTCCATCCTCCATCCCAGGACCTGTGACACGGTGCAGGGGGACAGCTGGGGGCTCTCACAGCCACAACCGCCCGCTTTTAATCTTCTCTGAGTCTGCTGAAACCCTCAAATGTTATGGCTTAACAGCTTGTTTAGTCTTAAGCTTATGAAAAGAGGTTACATATTTAAACAGTATTTGGGAAGATATTTTCCCTGTTTGTGGGGCTCCTTGTTACTTATTTGTAGTTACTTACAAAGAAAATAGCTTTTTTTTTTTAATAGAGAGTGATAGAAATCCTAATTCCACATTTTCTGCAAAACTAATACTTTAGATTTTAAATACAGTCTTGCTAGTCATTTTATTTGCTGTCTCAGAGTTTAAAAATACAACTTTCAGAAAACAGAAAAAAAGTCTTAAGCTAAAGATTTTTACCTGAAGTCTTAATTAGGTAAAAGACTATAATTCTATTATATTATAAAATCAGTTCTTATCTCCTATCTGTGAAGTAAGTATCATTACAACATCACATAAAAATTGACATGGATTGAAGAAATGACTACTTCAATGAATTATTTTCTTTGGAAAATATTCTACTTGCTAAAACAACAGGGAATATAGTCAAGGCCACACAACCGCCAGTACCTTTCAGAGATGAAAAGTTCAGGTGCAGTTTAGAACCATGTAAGTACATTCACACCTTCCGATTGGTATGTTCACACGTTGTTCATGCCAAGCTACATTTTTCTGAGCCACAAAATTTCTCCAAAAAACTTGCAAACAGTTCAGAAAACAAAGAGCCAGATTTTCTACAGTTACAACACATAAACTTAAAGAGCTGGATTTACTGATCAACACGTTCAGAAATTCCAATCATCATCTAAAGCAAATCCAAAAGAACACTAATAAAGATCCAGGAAACATAGTCAAGCACAAACAAAGCAAGTTGACTCCACAAGGTAACACATGAAGTTTTACTGAGACCACTTAAGTATATTGACTGTGTGCCCCAGATAAGTTATTTTATTCAAAAGGTCAACAAAAGAATAATTTTCAATCAAATACATCCTTGAAAAATGTCAAGCGCTGAAAAAAAAACTTGCTCAATGAGTTTATCAGACTGAGGCTGAGCCTGCAGGCCAAAACCTTTGGATCTACACAGGCCCTTTCTACCTGTGAAACAACATGAGAACCATGTGTATTCCCTGCGTGGTCACATCTCGTTTCACCTACAGGATCAAGTCCTT